AACATTCCTCATCATTGACCTGAAGAAGGTGGTATTAAATAGGAGGTCATCTAGTATCCTGAAGTTGTTTCACAGCACATTGCATAAAATTACTTAAATTTGCTTCATAGATAATTCTACAGTTAGCTCATTTCTTTGAGATCTGCTTTCAGTGCTTCTTGGTCGGACAATATTAAGTCTCTTTTGGGTAGTTTGCATAGATTCTCATAAAATCTAAGAGATTTCCCTTTAATTAGTTTATTTAAACCTTGCTGATATTTTGATTTTCGTGATATATTTGGAAACAAATATTTTGAACTTTCGTGGCTTTGTTTGTACTAAAGATTTATATGAAAATTATGACTCCATGCTTTTGTAGTTGTTCATCCGTCGTCGCCAACTAACGACATTTGAATTTCTTTTGAAAGTCATATAAGTTGTTTTATATTTAGAGAGCTTTGTGAATGTTTCTCTTTGCTTTTATTGAAGTTTTCTTACGAGTCGCTTTGTGTTGCCATTTTGGAAAGTAGCTATTGATTGAAAGATGTCTTGTTTTGCTTTGGTTGGAATGATTTATTAGTGGCTTTGGATTTATTTTATGCGACGAATTTTTTGGATGCCTTACAATGAGAGATTTTTTTTTATAAAATCTTCTCATTGGAAAGCTTTATGTTTTTCTACCCCACTCCAAATGAGAGAAAAGGCACTCGATTGTGAGTCTTCTTTTGTAGAATTTTGGGGCTAGTGAAAGAAGAGATTTTGGTAGGTGACTTTTGTAAAATTTTGTGTAGTGTTTTGTTTAGAAATTTTCATAGAGTATTTTGAGACTTCTAATTCGGTGATTTGCTTATTGTAGAAAGGTCCCTTAGTAGTTTTTAGAACAAGCTGGTGGTTAGTGTATGAATTATATTTCTATTAATTCACATTGGTTTCTAAGAATGAATTTTGGAGTTTGAAACTTTAGGCAACTTTATGTTGGAAGACTTTTAGTGTTTCTTTGGAGTAGGACAACCCTTGCTTATTTGAGTCATCTTTCTTTAATGTTAGCTTCTAAAAGATATAGATTTTTCTGGGTAAATATAAACCAAAGAGAATCTTGTTTTAATCTTAGTGTTAGGATTTGTTTCCTTAGTCATTTTGGGCTTGGTTTAGAGGGTAGTGTAGTTAGATGTCCTAAACGTATCGAGTGCCTTATTTGGATTGTGGGAACAATAAAGGGCATTGTTAATGTTGCTTTAGGATACACTTGACTTTAAAGAAGTGTGTCCAAAACAACAATGCCAACATCCCTTTTACATACGATTTTCATTCTTCTTCTTTTAGTTGCTTTTAGTTGTCTTTTACTTCACCGTTAGCTTTCTTTGTTGTTTCTTTTGTGCTTTGACACTACGCACTTGCAAAAATGGAGAGAACCCAAAATACAAGTAGCTCAATCGGTAATAAAAAGGTATGTTCTTTTTCATTTATGCTTTTTCATCCTTTCATATTATTATTTGCTTATAAAACTACTCTAATTCCACTTTTCTTCTATGTTTTGCGAGGTAGCTTTTGGAAATCAATGGATAAGGAGCAGTGGAGCACTTGGAGAAGGAGCTAGGAAAATTGGATCCGAGCATCAGTCACCCCTATTCATTCCGGTAGGGGCGCTACGGGCGGAACCACCGGGTCATAGCCCCCGGTGCTGTAAGCTTTCTTAAAAACTTAGAAAACCTTTAGGGGCCTAGATGATTGTACGCCTCCTACCCTTAGGGCCTTGTAGAAACTTCAATTATAATTAGGATTGCTTTACTTTTGTTAGATCCCTAAATCCTTGTGACATCCGTATAGAAGTTTTAGGAATTAGAAAACAACACTACTTTTAATCCTACAACACTAGTGACATTTAAGGACAAAAAATTAAGGACCGAGTCCAAGAAAATATAGACTTAGGATGCATGCTCCCTGTAGGGTAGAGACATTAAAACGAAAATTTAGTGACACGTCTTCCTAGATTTTAGTTTTCTTTAATCCACTAATAATCAACCAACCGATTATAATCTAATTCTTAAAATATATTAAAACACTTAATACTTAATTAAATTATGATTAACATTCATAATTAGTAAACTACAAATCTAAATTATAAACCTAAATCAAATCTAATTAATCTAATAATCAATCCTTAACCAATCGAAAATCTAAAAGATGTAGATTTTCTTAGGAGATTAAATTACAAATTAAACTCATTAGGATAAAAGACTCTTAAAGATCAAACTTAGAGTAATCTTTTAAAATCAATCAACAAATCTCCTAATACACAACAATCGCTCCAAAAATGAAGTTTATTGGATGGACTACTCCGGGCAGTGAACTAAGTGTCCTAAGGAGGCCTGGTTTCTCGAGCCTGGAGGAATAACGCCACGAATGAATTTAATGGAGCATCAAAACCTAAAACTAATTTCTTAATCGGCTTAAATCAAACCTTAATCGATAATAAAAATATTTAATCCACTTTTTTTTTCTTTTTCTTTCTTTTAATAACAAATTAAAATAATCAATTGAATCCTAAAATAAAATACCTAAAATCAATCCTAAAATATTAATATTTAAACATTAATTTAAAATCTTCCATTTGGCCCCTTTCAACAAATAAAATACAAACAATGCTAACTAAATCATCCTATATAGGACCTACCAAAACCACACAGCCTACACACACTTAGACTTGCTTGTTAGGACACGACTACTAGTATTAGGTTAGGCTGGTGTTTTCTTCGCTTCCGGTCTCTATGTTGTGACGCTCTGCATGTGACCTGTGTGCTGGTTATTTTTTTGCTACATGTTGTAGCTTTTCTGTGATGCTTTTCTGCTCTTTTCTTTTATGCACTATTATTGTGAGCGTTAGAATACCCATAGGTTAGGCGCGTTTATTCATACTAATGTTGTCTTCTTGCAGATGGTCGTGCTCGTACAGCACTAAAAAGGGGGCTAAAATTAATAATGTCATTTATAACTGCTTTAGGTACCTGCTTCAGCTGCTTAGCCCTCAATAATTAGAGCACGGCCAAGTGATTGATTTGAGCACTTTTCATTTCCATATATAACTGCTTGGATGAGTTTTTATTATAACTGCTTAGGATAACCCCTGCAGGAGAGTCTAGATTTTCTCTTTTCAGTAATGTAATGTATTTGATTGTAAATATTGTGAAAATCTCTAAAATAAGGCATTTTAAACATATAGGAGTCCAAAGGGAAACGAAAACCCCTATAGGGGGTTTCCTTTTTCATTTGGGCATTCTTTTGGAGGATTCACTACAAGGAGCCCGAAGGACTGAAGATGATCCAAAAACGAATCAAGGAAGCGAAGAAGAAGACTGAAGATATGAAATGCCTTATTTTAAGATTTGTGTCGTTCCCGAGTTGTTGTCGGTGGAGCCCGGCCACCCTTACTTTTCTGTACTGTGTGATGTAATATTGTATGGCACTTGCCATGGACACTCTTTTTCGTGGGCTTTTGGTTGTTTTGTTGATTGTTTGTTTACTTTGATTGCGCAGTAGAACCAACATGCTTTTCTTAGGTTTCTTTCTTACATGTGCTTGTGCCTGACCGTTAGGCTCTTTTAGGTTACAATTTTTCTACTCGTAATTAATAATAAAAATTAAGATTAACCTACATAGAAATATAACGATTTTAGGGAATAGCCGGAATCGTCCGGGGTCGCATGCATGCATTCTCTCTTCTTTCAGACGACTTCCCCACCTGCGGGTAGAGTCTGGATAATCTGGACCATGAGGATGAAGTGCCGGACTTGGGGAAGTTTAGTCATTCTCAAAAATTATTTTATGAGCCTTTTTAAAATTTCATACATTCTTGATTTGGAGATTTTTAACCAACATAAATTGCATTAGCAACTAATTAAAATTAAAATTTAATTGCATTAGTTTAGGTGCATAGTACCACTCATAAGAGTGGGATCACTTAGGAATTTCTTTAGTTGTCGATCCCGAATTCCAATGTCTAAACTACCCTCCTATTTTTTATATGAACCGGACAGCATGGATTTTATACGATTAGGTGGTTTTAACTGACTTTCTTTTTCAGGCAAGGAATAAGTCAAGGACTGCACTAGTTAGGTCGTAGATGTTAGTATCATATGTACGATACTACATCTTTTATAGATTTAGGGTCTAAAGGCTAGTGGTACGGGTGTATCACTATTCGCCTTATTAGTGGGTAAGCTCTCCATCCTTTCGGAAGCTATAAATCCTACCCATCTGCGTCACACAGATGACGTCACCTCCCTCTTTCTCTCGTGTATATCTGAGATACATTGTCTCTTTCTTTTCTCCAGTTTCCACTTCTTCTAGCCGACCGGATGTTGATTGAACCCTGTGTTATCGATTGAACCAAGTTGTGACCTTCTTCCCCTTTGATTAGGAAAAACTAGAATTTTCCCTTTGCACTAAACCCATTTTAGAAGATAATCTAACATCCTTAATCGAGAGTTTTCTTAGACCGATGTCTAAGATGTAATTAACTACGGGGGCTTGCGCCCGTAGGAAACCGATCCCCACAATCAAATAAACCATATTCGAGCTGATGCATCAAATGGGGGAAATCTCATGAACTTTTGGGTTATAGATATTATTATCCATCGAGGTTAGTAGGTGAAAACCGCTATCCTCCATGGCTAATCGTATTTATAACTCCATCTGCTCTTCCATCGGCCTGCTTATGTCGAGTGTAAAGGTCTACGACCATTTTGTCCTATGGGATAGTGTGATCGTACTATTTGCATTCGAACCTATTAGAAGAATCCTTTCGGAGACCAACAGATTTCTGGCGACCATGGTGTGGCAGGTTTCTCTCTCCATCTTCGGATGTTAAATTATCTTCTTCTGTGTGCACTTTGAGTTTAGTGCTCTTTAGTTAGGTTCTTCCTCGTCCAGCCTTTATAGGCTATTCCGTCTCTTTCTCTCTCGTTCCTTCCGGTGGTTTTGTTTTACGCTAATTGTTGCAGTTTGTGTTAACAGACAGTGCAATGGCATACTCTGGTCCTTCAGTTACTTTCTGTTTCGGCTCTGACTCGCGGGTAACACTCCCTGAGTTCCTGCTCTCGAGCCCACCTTCGGGGGGGATCACCTTCGGTTCTTTTACCGACTCGGCGTACGTCACTCTGGGCGGGCCGACCCCCTCCGAGGATGCTGCCTTCTCTCCCCCGCAGAGGAGAGGACGTGCAGCCTTGCGACCTTTTAGACTACATGTCGTTTGGCAGCCAGCCCGAGCACTCGCTCGTCCCTATGATGTTCGTGCGCAGCCAGTGCGCCCGATGGTTAGGCAGCCAGTGCCTAGGCCACTCCCTGTTCACCCGGTTCATCCAATGGTCAGGCGGCCAGCACCTGTCGCTCCTATTATTCGTGTAGCCCCGGCCCCTCAGCACCGGCAACTAGTAGCAGTTCCTTTACCCGCTATCCCGGTAGAGGCTGCTCGTGCCCGGGTCTCCCCTCCTTCCTCTTCAAGGAAGAGGGTTGCTCAGGCCGAGCTTCCTCCACCCCCTACTCGTGGGGTTTCAGTTTTCACCCGGTTGTCTCACCCCGAGGCTGCCGAGGAGACCCCGACACTCCCTTCAGTAGTTTATATTCCTCCTGTCCAGCCAGTTAGTACGGACATAGCTTCTTCCTCCACCTCTGGCCTTGGGAGAAGGGCTAGGAGGAATAGGAACAGGAGATTGTGCTTAGCGGAATCCGATGCAGCAGTTCAGTGGATGGCAGATTCTATGGCTCAACAGGAGCCGGTTTAGTAGAGGTTGGTTCCCTTACAGCGGGAGCCACGTAGACGTGTAGTTACCCCAGTTCCTGTTGTTGTAGTCACCCCTGAGATCGACGTAGTTCAGGGAGGATGCTTCTCCCCGCTAGTACATAGTGGTGATGAGGAGGATGCTGTTCATATTACGACAGCCCCTCCTGTCCCCACTACTCTTCCTCGCGCTCGAGTCCCTAGGGATACTGTTGCTATGACCCTCACCTAGAGGATCCGAGGAATTATCCGTTCAGCACATGATAGAGGTCATGTTAGCAAGGAGATGTTACTCCACCAGATCTATCATGTGCACGCCCAGTTACAGCGGCACTCAGTTAGGCAGAGTTACTGGTGGCAGAAAGGACAGCCACCACGATAGCAGACTAGACTTGTTCCCACTGTTAGATCTTAGGAAGGTGCCCCTACTGTTGGACGATTCCCTTACCGTCATGGACGTCGCCCATAGTTAGAGCCTGTCCAACCTCAACTCTGTTCAGTTGTAGTTGCCCCCTCCACTCAGTTAGATGTTCCTACCGGGTCCCGTTGCAGTAGATGGGTTTGGAGACGCCGACAGGTAGAGCAACCTGTCGAGACGGAGTAGATCGTTGGTATGATTCGTAAAGTTGACATAGCCCCTTCAGGATCAGTGCCAGTTCAGATGAGTCATGATGCAATTGATGTTGAGGATAGTACCCGGGCTCAAGTGGAGCCAGTTGTTGTTCCTAGTCCCCTTAGGATTTCTTCTTCTTTAGGTCCGTACATCGATGCTCTTCATCAGACCTCCGATGAGGACTTACTCTAAGGAGAGTCAGATAAAGACATCCCCGTTCATCGTGTCTGTGTTGTTATGAGACGAGGCATGTCAGATGAACAGTGGGAACAGTACGATGATTTGGAGGAACAAGGGGAGGCCGATGTAACTTCCACCTCAGCACAGGGTGGACCTCCCTGTTCAGTAGATACAGATGTTATAGTTTTGCAGTTGCAGACTCAGATGGTAGAGATGGCTAGAGCTATGGCGGCAATGACTGCCCAGTTGATGGCGTTGGGGGCTACACCCCATGTCATGGATGTAGGTACTCCTACTACATCCAAAGATGAGCCAGCAGCACCACAGTCACTAGCCCCAAAGCCTGTTAGAGTTGATAGAGTTCAGAGGGCAGTTCCGATGTCTCCCCCAGCAGTATCGTTGAGTGTGCCAATTCAGAGTCAGTCAGTACAGTTGTCACCAGTCTAGATTTAGGACATGATTGCATAGAGAGTTGAACAGGCTATCTCTTCTAGAAAGTTTGGAGACTCAGTTAGTAGAGGTCGTCCCTACCCGGTAGAGTACGAGCGGGAGCCTTACCCTGCTGGTTTTGTTCCTCCCCGTTTTTGAGTTTTTGATGGGTTTGGGAACCCGAGACAACATGTGACTAAGTATCGAGCCATATGTTGTAACATTGGAGGAAATGATGCATTGATGTTGAGACTATTTGTTACTAGTTTAGGGGGACTGGCATTTGAGTGGTATGTCGATCTCCCTAATGATTCAGTTCGTACTTTTGCCGAGATGGAGTAGTTCTTTGTGCAGAGGTTTATTATTACAGAGTATAGAGTGACTGTTGGTGAGTTGGTAGTGACCAAGCAGCGCCCCCACGAGTCTCTACCTAACTACATAGTTAGGTGGAGAAATCTTAGTCTTCAGTGTTAACCTTAATTGCAAGAGCAGCATGCAGTTGAAATTCTGTTGAAGAACATTGATGGTCCTATTGCTCCTTATCTGAAAGGTTTTAGCATTCGAACCTTTTAGAAGTTGTTAATCAAAGTCACTAGCTTGCAGGACAGCATACCCAGTGCAGTCCCTCCTAAGGTTGAGAGTCAACCCCCGCATAGACCTCAGCATTTGGAGTTTTTTAGGGCACCACCTCCTAGGAAGGGGGAAGTGTATAGTACTTATGATGCTAATGATAGGGGCAAGAGGCCTATAGTTAGTTCAGTACCACAGCGTCCACCACCACCTCGACCTCAATTTCAGCCCCGACCTCAGCTACCACCACCTGTACAGCCTCCTATTTAGTCTCAACCACGACCACAGAGTCAGCAGCCTAGGCCCTCTTATAGAACTCCAGAAAACCAACAATACTTGCAAGAGAGGCTTAGCAAGGAGTATCCCTTTAAAAGGGAGAGTGTAAAGAAGATTTTCAAATTTTTGGTCAAGAAGAATATTTTGACATTTCCACCCAACAGGAGAGTGGAAGAGGAGGGGCAGACAGAGCATCCTTTGTATTGTCCATTTCATAGACATATTGGTCATGTGATTGAAGATTGCTATGTGTTCAAGGACAGAGTGGAAAGCCTTATGGCTAGGGGTGAGATTCACTTACAGGACAGTGACTTAGTGAATCCTCAAGGCAAAGTTGCTCAGGTTGTTCAGATGATTACTAGCTCCAGTCAGTGTGACAGTCAGTGTGGTGTTCAGAGCAGTGACAGTAGAGCACCTCTTAGTTATGGAGAGGAGTGGCAGCTTGCACTCTCTCGCAAGATAAGAGGTATGATCAGACGGGCAGATCAGAGTTCAGAGGCAGTTAAGAGGAGGCCCCCACAGGCCAAGTCGACAGTTGCCAGCCTAGTTCCTTTGTCAGTTTCCTTCTCTTCTTCTAATGTAGTGCCTACTGAGCACATTTCTTCTACTTCTACTTGTATTAGAAAGATGTATGAAAGATAAAAATTTCTTATAAGTTCTGAGGGGAAAACAGGGTCTCTTCTAACACTTACGCTGAAGGATTTTGTTCTCCCTTCAACTGATGATGAATTAATGGAAGATAATGATTCTGGCTACTTTTGGTGTCTTGCTCTTTCTAGTTCTACTTTTTCTAGCACTCGTTCTTCTTCTGTTTTATTTATTTCTGAAAATGATGATGGTCTTTCTTATGGAGAAGAGTTTGAGTGTGAGGAAGAGCCTGTGTTTGCTATTCTTGAAGGAGGTTGCTGCATGGATTCTGGAGATGAATCCGAGAACACTCCTCAGTCACTTTTTGTTGAACCAACATAAGCCCTGTCACCTAAACCAAATGAGTCCTCTATTGAGTCTGACTCAATACGTTACAGTTGCGTTCAGGTAAGGTCCTTCCACCCAAAATGGCTAAGAATAATAAAAAAAAAGATAGAAACATCATTACCCAATAGGATGATCCTATTTCTCCTCCTCAAGCACAGGCTAAGAAGAAGGGAAAAGGCCCTCAGTTGGATGTTGATTATAATGTGTTGGCTCATTTGAGAAAGATTCCTTCTCTTCTTAGTGTTTATGATGCACTTATGATGTCCTCCGACCTGAGAGAGACTTTGGTTAAACCTTTGCTTGAACCAGAGTCTTATCAAGCCTTCTTTACCATTGAGTCAGTTAAGGATGCATGCTATTTGAGAGAGATTCCATGCATTACCTTTTCAGACCAGGATCTTCTTTTAGGGACTCCTGATCACAACCATCCCTTGTACGTCACCACTGAAGTAAATAGTTATGAGTTGAACAGGGTCCTCATTGACCAAGGAGCTTCAGTTAATATCCTTAATCATGCCACCCTACAGAGCCTCTCCCTTTGACATTTGAAACTAACTTCAGATAAGATTATGCTGAAGGGTTTTAATGATCAAGGTCAACAGGCTCTAGGTTCCATCACTTTGCCTTTGCATTTTGGAGATCTTTTGACTGAGGCAAAGTTTCATGTTATTGAGGCAGATACCTCATACAAGGCTCTCTTAGGAAGGCCTTAGATTCATGAATATGGAATGGTGCCCTCTACACTGCACCAGAGCATGAAATATATGAGGAACGATGTAGAGTTTTCCATCCCTGGAGATACTCAACCTTTTACCGTGCATGAGGTCTCTATTTATGATGACGCCGAGCATTACATGCCTCGGAAAGCTCGTAGACCTCCCACTGCCCAGTCACCAGTGATACCCACTAGTGTTGTACAGGGTCCTATGCAGTCACTTGCACAGGGTCCTATACAACCATTAGTACAGGGTCTGTCACAGGTTAGGATTGGAGCATATGTTTCCACTGCAGACCTTGATGAATCTTTACGGTTTGTAGTCAGGCGCGATGTTCCCCCTAGTAGAGGTAGGGGATTGCGTGGTAGAGGTCGAGGTAGAGAGTTAGTTCGCCCTCCGAGGAACTTTGATACTCGAATCCCTCCTCCCACGCACTTGTACGCTTCCCCTTTGACTGTTGAGTCTGACTCTGATGATGAGATGATTGATGTTCCTCGTCATTCAGTTCCTTTACCCGCCTTTAGTGTTGATCACAATTCCTATCCCACAATCTATAGGAGTTTGATACCTCAGGGTGGTTTAGTTGTTGATAGTGATTCAGACGACGACGGAGATGTCGGACGTTAGACTACTAGCCAACAATCCCTTTCTAGCCAGATGTACGGGATGAGAATTGAGGAATCTCCTCCTCAACCTTCCCCTACACCTTCCGCCAGTGTTCGAGGTGCACTACCCTTAGATAGGCGCTCTGTACAAGAGCTACACACTCTCTACGTGCCACCACAATCTACTTGGCATACATCATTGTTCCATAGTGTAGGTGTCCCACAGAGTACTGACATACATGATCCTGTGGAATCTACTATGGACGATGAGATCATGAAAGTCCCTCGATACTTTTCCCCTGCTGTGGATAACTTTGTTGAGCGTGGTATTGTCCCTTCGACTTGGTCAGGTAGACAGGCTAAACAGCAGGCCCGTATTTGGCGAACTAATTTTCCTCGAACTAGGCAGGGTATAGGCTATTCTCAAGAGAATCAGTTCCCTTCCGCCAACATTAGGGTTGTCTCTCATTCTTATCCGGTCGTTTCCATCTCCAATGATGAAGAGCCGGAGGATAATGAGGACAGGGTCCTTGAAGCTCCACGTGAATTCAAAGATGGCGTTAGTTCTGCCATGGATGAGTTGTGTGAGATCAATTTGGGCACTGAATCGGATCCTTAACCTATCTTTCATAGTACTTTATTATCCGAATAAGAGGCTCAAGAGTATGTTGCACTCATTTCTGAGTTTATGGATTGCTTTGCCTGGAACTATACAGAGATGCCAGGTTTAGATCCAGAAGTAGTAGTCCACAAGTTAGCCATTAGTCCTGATGCAGTCCCTATTAAGCAGTCACCTCGTCGGATGAGGTTAGAGATTGAACAACAGGTGATCGCCGAGATTAAGAAGCTTATAGAAGCTGGTTTCATTCGAGAAGATAAGTATCCCACTTGGCTTTCCAATGTTGTTCTGGTCCGGAAGAAGAGTAGTTAGATTCGTGTCTGTATAGACTTCCGTGATTTGAACAAGGCATGTCCTAAGGATGATTTTCCTCTTCCTATACCGGAACTCATGATTGATATTGCTTCGTCCCATACCATTTTCTCCTTTATGGATGGTTCATCTGGTTATAATCAGATTAAGATGGCCCCTGAGGATGAAAAATTCACTGTCTTTCGCACCCCTATCGGTGTGTTCTATTACAAGGTGATGCCCTTCGGCCTCAAGAATGCCGGGGCCACCTATCAACGTGCCATGACAGTCATTTTCGATGAGTTGATTCATGAGCAAGTTGAATGCTATGTGGATGATTTAGTGGTCAAAAGTAAGGTCCGTAGTGATCACCTCCGAAACCTACGAATCATTTTTGAACGCTTAAGAAAGCATGATTTGAAGATGAATCCCTTAAAGTGCGCATTCGGTGTCACTGCGGGGAAGTTTCTTGGTTTCATTATTCGCTACCGTGGCATTGAGATTGATCCCTCCATGATCAAGGCCATAGTGGACTTGAAACCCCCTAAGAGTCTTACCCAGCTGAGGTCATTTCAGGGTAAGCTTGCTTTCTTGCGGAGATTTATCTTCAATCTCGCTGGTAGATGTCATTATTTTGCTGCTCTAGCAAAGAAGGATGCCCGTTTTCATTGGGATAAGAGTTGTCAAGAGGCTTTTGAGAGCATAAAGCGCTACCTGATGAGTCCCCCTTGTTAGCTGCAGCCATCCCTGGTAGACCGTTGATTCTTTACACTACTACCTTGGATGAGTCGCTTGGTGTACTTTTAGCTCAAGAAAATGAAGAAGGCAAAGAGAATGACTTGTACTACCTTAGCAGACGTTTGATTCCTGCAGAACTAAAATACCCGACAATGGAAAAGCAATGTTTGGCTTTGATCTTTGTTGTGCATAATCTTAGACACTATATGTTCTCACAGAATATCAGTTTGATTTCTCGAGTCAACCCTTTGCAGTACCTGATGACCCGTCTAACTTTGTCAGGTCGTCTAGCATGTTGGTCCATGATTTTGCTGCAGTTTGACATTACCTTTGTCCCTCAGTGGGCCGTCAAAGGACAGGCTCTAGCTGATTTTCTTGCTTCTCATCCGATCCCTGCAGATTCCCCAATTAATGACAATTTGCCTGATGAATTAGTCATGAATGTGGAAGAGCAGGAGTCCCCTACTTGGAAATTTTACTTTGATGGAGCTTCTTCCATCAAATCACTACATCCTTACGAAACTCCTGTTGTTAGGGTAGGTTTGGGGCTTGTTTTTGTGTCTCCTGAAGGCCACACCCTTCGTTACTCCTACAGTCTTTCTGAGCCTCGTACTAATAATGAAGCTAAGTACGAAGTCTTGATTATAGGACTTGAGTTGGCAATTCAGATGAGCATCGTGCGGATGAAGATCTTTGGAGATTCCCAACTAATCATTAATAAAGTTGCTGAAATTTTCAAAGTCCTCAAATCTGAGCTCTTGTCTTATCACGATAGGGCAATGGAGCTTTTATGTTTAATCCCTAAAGTAACTTTAATTAGAGTCCCTCAATCTGAGAATGGTAGAGCGGATGCACTAGCTAAACTTACTAAGGAGTTGGCTGACCCTACTGGAAACCCGGTGTCGATTGTGGTCCAGTATCGACAAGCCTTATGCCCCGCGGACTTGTCTTCTTCCGATCAGACCCTTGCAGTATTCGCTGTTGAGGAAGAGTTAGATTGGACAGTCCCCTTTGTTGAGTACTTGAAGCGTGGTAAGCTTCCGGATGACCGCTCTCTTGCCACTCAGATTAAAAAAGAGACCTTTGTCATTTTTATATGTGAATGAAACTCTATACCGACGCTCTTTTAACCAGATGTGGTTGCGTTTCCTCAACAACGAGGAGGATCGTAAGGTCATGGGCGAAGTACATGAGGGACTTTGTGGTGCTCATCAATCCGGACCTAAGATGAAGGTCAGGATTAAACGCCTTGGTTATTATTGGCCTACTATGATCCGTGATTGCATGGAGCACGCTAGAAAGTGCCACCAGGGCCAGATTCATAATACTGTTATCCACCAACCTCCTAATCCGCTGCACCTCACTGTGTCTTCTTGGCCTTTTGAGAGTTGGGGAACGGATGTAGTGGGTCATATTGACCCTCCTTCCTCTAAGGGTCATAGGTTCATTCTGGCTGCTACTGATTACTTCTCTAAGTGGGCTGAAGCAATCCCACTTAAGGAAGTTAAATCAGAAGATGTGATGAGCTTCTTTCGCGACCATGTTATCTACCCTTTTGGTGTTCCGCGTCGTATAATTTTGGATAACGGACCGTCTTTTAAAAGCACTAAAATTGCTAGATTTGCCCACCGCCATAACATAAATTGGCGGTATTCCTCGATTTACTATCCTAGGGCTAATGGTTTGGCTGAAGCATTCAATAAGACCTTAGTCCAGTTGATAAGAAAGATTCTTGTGGCAAATAAGAGAGAATGGCACGACAAATTGCCTGAAGCATTATGGGCTTATAGGACTACATACCGTACTCCTACTCAGTGTACACCATACGCTTTAGCTTTTGGGGTTGAAGCTGTCCTCCCACTAGAGGTTGAGCTCCCTTCGTTGCGTGTAGCAGTTAGCCACAATTTATCTCGTGAGGATAACGCCCGACTCCGGTTGGAAGAACTTGATGGTTTAGAAGAGCTCCATTTGCAAGCTCATCAGAACCTTAATGATCGCCTTGTCCGACCCCATGCTTTTCAGGTCAGAGAATTAGTTCTTGTCTTACGTAGGCCTATTATCTCACGTCGTCGTCGAGGTGGTAAATTTGATCCCATTTGGGAACGCCCATTCGTTGTAGAGCAAGTATACAAAGGTGGATCTTATTTGCTAGTTGATGCGAATGGCGTTCATCCCATGCCCGTCATTAATGGGCAGTACTTTAGAAAGTACTACGCTTGAGTTTGCACATCACAAGCGGCACCCCCGCCACTCGTAAATATCCCTCTGTATAGATATAACTCTAAAGTATTTCTTGTACTTTTCGGCAGTCTGTGGCCATGACGATTTATCCTCTACCACGTGATGTTTGTCATGTAAAGTATGAGATCATCCTTAAGGGTTGTGTGTAAATATTTCGTAGGGATGTTTGTGCTTAAGTTCACATTCATTAATCACTTTGATGTTGTTGCACAAGACCTCCTTTTCAGTCCCCTTCGAGGGTTGACTTTCTCCAATTTCACTTGTCACCTTCAAGTGTGGTCTGGGATACCAAAACTACTAACTCGAATGTCTAAGGAATGTGATACTGGGTCCATCCTTTATCTATATTTGTCAAATATAGTGATGATGATCCATTGTCACTTTCTGAATTCCTCTACAAATTGTTGTTGTAATCTTTCTCTCTTTCCAGTTTTATTCATGTGTCGAGTATGGCCTGGGAAGCTCTTAATTGAGTAGAATCGATTTCCCTTGTCACAGGTGGAACCCGGTTTTACATTCCAAGAGCCCAAAGTCTCTCCAAATTCTCTTCTTTTTCTCTCCTTAAGGTACTTTGTTGATTGCTTAAGAGATAGCCATATATTCACTTCTTCGATTATGGTTGTTTACTTTTAATGGGATGTCTTTCTCACTTACTTGTGTTATGGTACATCTGGCTCCATATGTTAACATCACTTCTTAGTGGATTTTGATCTTCTAGCAAAAAGTTGACCCACTACTTCTTTCAAATGACATATTTTCTCATTGAGACCTTGCTTTTAGCTGTAAGAGCAGTCTCTTTGAATACGTAAATATTGCTTGTACTTTTCACAGGGTCCCATCAGTTAGTATGGGTGTTACCACTGTGATTTCTTTAGTAATCACTAATTTTTGATATGATGATTGTTGTTCTTAGTGGCAAGTGTGTCCCGTTGCCACTTCTATTGCTATTCCGTTGATATGAGATTATTCTTTCGTTTGTATGTTCCTCTTCTTAGAGAGATATACATTAGTTGATTGCCTCATATTTTATGACTTCAATTTTATCCTAAAAAATACTACATATATTTTAATTACTCATGGCCACGACGATTTATCCTCTATCATGTGGTAACTAGAATATAAGTTTGAGATTTTTTAGATGATGGATTACTTTTCTTTCCCTCATAGCACCACGCACATGTGCGTTGGGTGGCTGTAGAGGTGACTTTCACTCTTTGTTTTTCCATTTTGAATAAGGTCAGGCAAACATTGAGTCATACTCATTCACTATTGCGATCTGGTCAGATGAATGTTGGATTTTGTCTTTTGTCCTGCTGTTGCGATCTGGTCAGGCAGGCATTAGCCTTTTGGGAAGCTCTTTATTCGCTGTTGCGAATATGGTCAGGTGGATATTGAGCTGTTCTCATTTGCCGTTACGAATATGGTCAGGCGAATGCTGAACTCCCTTTCTTTTTTCCCCTTTGTCTTGTTGTTGCGATCTGGTCAGGCGAACATTGGGTTGTCCTCATTCACTGTTGCGATCTGGTCAGGTGAATGTTGGACGTGTTTCTTTTTTTCCACCGTTGCGATTTTGGTCTGGTGGACATTAGACTTTCAGGAGGGCTCATTATTCGCTGTTACAAATATGGTCAGGTGGATTTTGAGCTATTTCATTCGCTGTTGCGATCTGGTCAGGCGAATGTTGACTCCCCTTTTTGGTTGGGTGCCCAACAGAGTCCCTAGGAGGCATACTTCACCACCTCTTCATTCCCCCTATTTTATTTCCTGTTTGGGGGTTATTGAGTTTTCTTCTGATTCTTTGTTTTGCCGATTTGAATAAGGTCAGACAGACATTGAGTCATTCTCATTCACTGTTGTGATCTGGTCAGGTGAATGTTGGATTTTGTCTTTTATCATGCTATTACGATCTGGTCAGGCAGACATTAAACCTTATGGGAAGTTCTTTATTCGTTGTTGTGAATATGGTCAGATGAATATTGAGATGTTCTCATTCGCTGTTGTGATCTGGTTAGACGAATGCTGAACTCCCTTGCTCTTTCACCCTTTGTTTCGCTGTTGTGATCTGGTCAAGCAAACATTGGGTTGTCCTCATTCACTGTTGCGATCTGGTCAGGTGAATGTTGGACTTGCTTCTTTTGTCCCACCGTTGATATTTTGGTCAGGTGGACATTAGACCTTTTTGGGAAGCTCTTTATTCGTTGTTGCGAATATGGTCAGGCGGATATTGAGCTGTTCTCATTCGCTGTTGTGAATATAGTCAGGTGAATGTAGAACTTCCTCCTTTTCTTTACTCCTTGTTTTGCTGCTTCGAACATGGTCAAGCAAACCCGGAGTTGCCCCATTCGCTGTTGCGAATATGGTCAGGTGAATGTGGGACCCCCTTCTTTTTCTCTATTCTGCTGTTGCGATGTGGTTAGGCAGATAGATGAGCTCCTTACTTTTGATTATTATTGTTTTCCTTTGATTATTGCTCTCTAATATTTCCTTTGATTTTCAAATGATTATGGAATTCCCTTCTCCTTGTATCATCTTAGATATTTGTCGTAGGTGATCGTTAAAGTCTACTTGGTTCTTTGAGATTTCATTTTAATTTTGCTCATATGAGCGTGAGATCTCTTTCCCCTATCCTCCCACTTTGGTTGGGCAGATAATTGATTTTATTTCTTTGACTCTCCTTCTTCATTGATCTGATTCTTATTATTTGATTGTAGTTTGATCGCATCTTCTAAGTGAGTTTCCTTGGTTGACCTTGAGGTTGCATCTTCCTAGAGTTAGGAAGGTCAACACCAACATATATGGTTCACTTGTTGTTCTCCCCATATGTTGGGGGTCTGTTTGTTGACCTCGATTTTGGCTCGAATTTGCTCGAGCACTATCGATCGATTTAATTGAACCCCATCGAGCCCAATTCGAGCTCGAATCGACCCGACTCGAGCTGGATCAGACTTGAATGTGTTCAATTAGACTCGATTAGTTTGATTTCATCGCATCTTACCTGATTTGATTTAAATTGATTATTATGTTGAGCCTAGTTTTGTACAATTAATTTCGTTGCGCCGGCTCGAGCCCGAATTGGTTCGAATCGAGCCAAATTCAAACTCGAGTCTAACCCAGTCTTAGCCAAATTCGACCTAGTTCAGCTCAGTTTAATCCACCAAAAATCCATTTGACTTTCTAAGTGGCTTGAATTCACTTCCTTGATCAGGAAATCGCATCGACGGTTGTGATTGCACAAAATCCTCGTTTCAACCTGAATCCCGCGTCTCAGTCGATTTTTTGCGGCTGGGGCAGGCATCGAGTAGCGAGCAAGGTTTTTTTAGGATGTTTTTCGGAAGCTGGAGCACCAGGGAATAGTGGCGGGCTTCCTCTTTAGGCAACGAGTTCAATTTACCCGAGACGAAGGCCGTCGACATTGGCATTCGCTTGCGCTCCCTCTCTCACACCGGATCTCTCTTTCACGCCGAGCTCGCTCACACCGACTCCTCCCCTTTATCCTTCTCGTTCAGAAGAAGCCCACGCGGACGACAGCTCCCCCGATCTCTCTTTCTGAAGCCCGTTCGGCCTCCAGGACCGAACCCGACGGGTCTTCCCCATCTCCGATCGAGTCCACGCTACCTGGACTGACTCTCGTTCCCCTCTTTGTCGTGCGAGCTAGTCGAACCAGCTCCTCCCTTCTCAGTTCCAGACGTCTGAACCCAATGCCGGCTTCCCCCTTGTTAACGAACCCCAGGCGACTCCCAGCCGTCGGCATCCTTGTGTGACTCGAGCCAGATGCCTGGACCGATCAGAACTTCACCATCCTGCAAGGTAAGTATTCTCCTTCTTCTCCTTGCTCCTTCATCTCTTTCCCCATCCTCTACTTCTC